TCTTGAGCTCCCTTCCTGGTGGCAAAGAAACCCAGCCCTGCCCTGCCCTGCTGCCCAGGAAGGAGGCTGAGATACTCAGAGGTCATCGCTTCCGGGCTCCAAAGTGAGACTTGGACGCAGACTTGCTCATTCACGTATTGTATGAATGCACCTCACCCTACGTTCCCACAACACACTGAGTCACAAATTCATCACCATGTTTCAGCCTAGAATGTCATGCAACCCAACATACATGATTAGTTTATGATTTTGTGTATAATGCAAAACCTCAAAATCAGCTGAGTAAACCATGGGGTGCAAACCCAATACTTCCTTCTTGACATTTAATTTTTGGGTGCTCCAAACTGTCTCACCGTATTAGACCAAGCGATTCACATTGTTTGCCAGCCGGAGAGGCTGATGTTGTGCGCTTGCTGAATGCAGATGGACTGGTCAGGTCCCAGTCTTGGCCGACATCATTCTTAGCGAAAGTCCCCCACCCTCTGAGTTCCTAGTGGGCAGTGGCAAAGCAAGATGCCACACTGGTTGAGCCCTCCTAAGGAGCCATTTTGGGAGCCACTCCCAGAGTTAATTCCATCGGTTGGGTGCTGGTGTTTCCATCAGAGAATTAACCGACCCTGTGAATGGGATTGGACATTTGTGAAATACTGCAGAAGAGCAGATGGACATTCCTTCTGTATCTTCTAAATAGTTAGCACCCTTCCCGCCCCAAGTCAAGAGGCGGTTAGAAAGAGGATCAAAAGCATCAAAGATATCTTAATATACCCTTTGCTCAATGAAGGTAAAGTATCCATATCTGCTTTCCAAGATTGTGTTACCTAATCCCTTTTTCTTTGCAATAAATCTAACAGAGGGACCCTCTGCGAATCTTGCTTTCTTGTTTGTGAGTGGCAGTTAGGAGCCTGACATTTGACTACTAAAGAATGCCAGCTTGACAGCAACTTTCTTCCTCCCTCTGGCTTTCCTTTGTTCTGATGCAGTTGCCATATTTCATGAATGAGCTCACTCTAACTGATCTGGAAATGGGGACTTCCATCCCACACATACTCAGTGCTTCTAGCCCCACCGTGGATAACCGAGGTAAGTTTTGATCCCCATTGCCATCTTCCCATTGCCATCTTCTTAAGGCCAATGTGAACCTGGAATATCTGGAAGCAGAGAGGTCTGGACTGGCAGGTTTCCTCCCGAATACCTCAAGAAGGGAGCTTTACTTTTTCACATTCTCTGTTCCAGATTTGCACAGCTGGACATATTGGGACCTGGTGTTGGTGGGAAAGATGGATATCTGAGAGGAAAGAAGAAACCCAACAGGCAAAACAAGGAATTGTTCACACATTAGAAAGGATCAGGGTTGGATATGCCATTCGTATTCAACAAGAGCAGCCACTTCTGGCTTTGGAAGAACTGTCCCTGTATGGTGATGGTTTACATCCAAGCAAATGTTTCTTGCCTCTATGCACACAGGCATCAAAGCCATGGTGATACCATTCATGCATCATTATATCACGACGCAAATTGCATAATCTGCATAATTTTCCCAATGATATCGTGATGCACATGATGTCGCTTGCTCCCCTGAGAAAGCCCATGTCCATATATTAAGATCTACACTAAAACGAAGCAAAATAAAAATGCTTGGAGCACATGAGTTAGGGCAATATTTTATTTAGCCTACCATTGGATGGGTTTACACCAGTGTTGTCCAAACTTGGCCACTTTAAGATGAGTGGACTTCAACTGGCTGGCTGGGGAA